AGAAGAAAAAGAAGGAGGAGGAGGAGGGGGAGGAGGAGGAGGAGGAAGAGGAGGAGGGAAAGGAGGAGAAGGGCAAGGAGGAGGAGGGAGAAGGAGGGGGAGTAAAAGGGGGAAGGGTAGGAGGGGGAGAGAGAGGAATTCATGAGGAAATTAAAAGAAAATAATAATGTTTATTTATTTTTGAGTGGGGGGAGGGGCAGAGAGAGGGGGGAACACAGAATACAAAGCAGACTCCAGTCTCCAAGCTGTCAATGCAGAGTCCGATTGGGGGCTCAAACTCATGAGCCATGAGATCTTGACCTGAGCCGAAGATGGACCCTTAACTAACTGAGCCACTAGGTGCCCCATGAACAAAGTGTTATTAAAGTTTTAAAGAATGTTCACCAAAAATTAATGGTAGAGACATATGGATGGTGGAATTTATACTGATTTTTTTCTTTATATTTATCTGTCCTAATGAAATTGTGGGCAACTATCCCATTAAGTGCAGCTAGACCAATTTAAAACCCACAAATATATCATGTGGATAGGAATAGTTCCAGACACAGAGAAGAAAGGAAGGATTCTCTAAGAGGAAATTTAGCCACAGGATTCAGAAACACTGACTGCAAGCTTGTGATAATGTTTTTCAAACACTAGATAGTGGCCTAGATAGAATTTCAAGTTCCTCTGAGGATAAGGCTAAGACAGCCTAAAGTTTGTATGAGAAGTTTTATAAGTTTCTACTTCATGTGATTTGTTTTACCTCATTTGTGAGCTGAGTTGTGTCCCTAACAGATTCATATGTGGAAGTCCCAATACCCAGCACTTCCAAATATAATTGTGATGGTTAATTTTATGTGTCACTTGACTGGCCTAAAGGATGCCCAAACAGGTAGTAAAACATTACTCTTGGAGGAGTCTGTGAAGGTGTTTCTAGAAGAGATTAGCATTTGAGTCAGTAGACTAAGTAAAGAAAATCTCCCTCACCAAAGCACTAAGGCATCATCCAATCTATTGAGGTCTGAATAGAACAAAATGGCAGAAAAAAAATGAATTTGCTCTTTGATTGAGCTGTGACATCCATCTTCTCCTGCCCTTGAACATCAGCTCCCTGGTTCTTTTGCCTTAGAACCTGGACTAAATTACACCATCAGCTTTCCTGAGTTTCAAGCTTGCAGCTGGCAGATCATGTGACTTCTCAGCCTCCATAATCACTTTCTATAAAATCCTTCATGATGTCTCTTTCTCTCTCCCTCCCTCTCTTTATCCCCTTAGTTCTGTTTCTCTGGAGAACCCTGACTAATATAGTGACCATAACTATATTTAGAGATAAGGTCTTTAAATATGTGACTAAGTGAAAATGAAGACATTATGGTGGAGCCCAAGGCCTTTACGACCGGTATCCTTATAAAAAGAGGAAGACATTGGTATTAGAGTGGCAGTTGGTTAGTTTCTAACAGGACACCTGGAGGTCAACAACAAGGAGGATGTTATGACCAGCTATCTGGAAAGTCAGAGGTCTGTCTTGCCAACACTCTACAAAAAGCCAAATCAAATTATACAGGCCCCAAATGGTGGGTGCCGTGACAGGAAATCCCTGACCAAATAAGGAAGAAAAAGCATGAAACTTTGCATCTCCACTTCAAGCAATAAATATTCACCTTCTAGTTAACAACTGTCAATAAAAGTTAGGAACTCAACTCCTATGGTGCACAGCTCACTCGCTCACTCTCTGTCTCTCAAGTTCACTCACTCCCAAATCTCTAGAGTATTCTTTTGCTTTAATAAACTTTCACACTTGTCTTCCCTCCACCCCCATCTCTCTCTCTCTCTCAGTCTCTGTCTCTGTTCCTACCTCACCTGCTTGCGAGCTCTTGGTCTCTCCCTCAAAAATAAAAATCAAAAAATAAAAATAAAAAAAAATAAATGAACTAAAATAAACTATCCCACTTGTTTCACTAGTCCACTGTGTTGCACATCTGTCTTTGATTTTTTTCTTGTGATAAGACCAAGAACATTCAGCAACACCTTTGGGATCTCTGGAGGGAACCCCAGGGCAACACAGGGAGATGCTCCCACAGGGAAGACCATGTGAAGAGGCTGCATGAAGGCTGCCATCTTTGAGCCAAGGAGAGAGACCTCAGAAGAACGCAACCCTACTGGCACCTTGATCTTCAACTTCCTGCCTCTGAACTGTTAAAAAATAACTTTTCGTTGGGGCGCCTGGGTGGCTCAGTTGGTTAGGTATCTGACTTCAGCTCAGGTCATAATCTCATGGTTTGTGAGCTCAAGCCACACATCGGACTCTGCTGTCAGTACGAAGTCCAGTTCAGATCCCCTGTACTCCTCTCTCTCTGCCCCATCCCCCAGCTTGTTCTCTTTCTCAAAGTAAATATATAAACTTAAACAAAATGAAAACTAAAAATTTCTGTCATTTGAGTCACTCTGTGTGTGATCTTTAGTTATAACAGCCATAGCAAATTAATACACCCATGAATGGAGTTCATATTACTTGAGGGAACTTCTTCTCATAAGTGCCATAGAACGCGATATTGGATTAAGAACATACTACAAATATTAGTTGATTGACTTTAGTTCTAGAGGAATAGTTCTCAGTTACAGTCTCCAGAACAGCATCATCAATATCATCTGGAAACTTTTTAGAAATGCATATTTTTGAGCCTCAAGACACTATAGAATCAGAAACTCTGGGAATGGGATGGAACAATCTGTTCAACAAGCCCTCTGGGTGATATGAGACACTTTAGAGTTTGAGAACAAGTGTTTCAAATGTTCCAAACTAGGGACCAGGCATGTGAAATCCGTGAGTGATGCAGCCCAGGTGTAAGTCAGCAGGAGAAGTCTGGCATCTGTCTTCTTAGCACACTAGTGACACACACATCTCCACTGAGGTCATGGCCAGATATTCCAACGAGCTAAGATGAAATGGTCTTTATTTTTCTAAGGTATACAAGCAAAATAGATGTGTAGATGGATACTTCATGATTTTTCAACAGTGGTGGCCAATTCTAATAACTGTTGCCTGAGCAAACAAAACAGGTTTACAGGACCTTTCCATCCTGTGGTAACCTTTCATTAAAGTCAAGGGGTTTGGAAGAGGGGAGGGTGAGAAAACATTTGTTTCCGTTTCACCTATAAGATGTTCTTCCTACTGGTTTCAAAGAGAGGAAGAAGATATTGAAAAAAAAATAGCTTTTTGTTTCTGTTAATGATTTTTTCTGTGTGTTGTAGTCGAGATTTAAATATACTGGGTGCATATAAGCCCTCACTCTGCAGATACACACTTAGAGTTTGCACTGGTTTTTGTCCAGTGCTCTGATTACCCCAGGGCAGAGCCTGGATTTGGCTCATTTTCAGTCGAGGCAGGCATGTCTTTAGCAGTGTGTCTCAGGTGGGCTGAGGTCTGTTTTCAGAGCCCATGACCCACAGAGTGACACTCCCCCTGCCATCTGTGACTTGTACATGGGGATTTAAAGACGGAGATGTGCTGACTGGGGCAGTGTCGGCTCCGCTGACCATCTGCTACAGGTGCTGGAAGCAGCGCTGGTCATATTCAATCTTCGAGTGAAAGTCTGAATTAGCTGGCATGAGTTTCCTACTGAATAGCTGGGCCCCCTGTTTGAATACCGCTTTCTAGTGCAGGACAAAACCTGGTTTTCTGGACGCTGTTGTTTCCTTGCTGGAAAGAATTTTTTGGGCACCTTTTCAAAATGAATGTAGAGAGGGAAGAATGAAAGTGTTATTAAGTTCTTAAAGCTCGCAAAGTAGGAACATTTCCAGGTATCCTAAACAACTTGTCTCTGCCCCGATCTGCACCCCTATTCCCACCCCAGAGCTATAGCTGAGGGCTTGAAGATGATGTTTTCTGCTAAAAACACTACTATCATCATTGGTTACTGGAAGAACATAACGTGAAGTCACTTTAAGGAAATGATATTGGGGCGCCTGGGTGGCTCAGTCGGTTGGGCGTCCGACTTCGGCTCAGGTCATGATCTCGCGGTTTGTGGGTTCGAGCCCCGTGTGGGGCTCTGTGCTGACAGCTCGGAGCCTGGAGCCTGGAGCCTGCTTCTGCTTCTGTGTCCCCCTCTCTCCACCCCACCCCTGCTTGTGCTCTGTCTCTCTCTTTCAAAAATGAATAAACATAAAAAAAAAGGACATGATAAAAAGTGAGGTTTTTCCGAGTAAATCTATAAAAACAATTACATAATGCCTAAATACCTAAACTATTATGGTTCAAATATGACAGTTTATTTAAATCAGTGAAATCATATCCTCAGTCCTTCATTTTGGATAAATTTTATTTTTTATTTTATTTTTTAATTTTTTAATGTTATTTATTTTTGAGAGAGAGACAGAGCACAAGTGGGGGAAGGGCAGAGAAAGAGGGAGACACAGAATTAAAAGCAGACTCCAGTCTCTGAGCTGCACTGAGCCTGTGCAGTCAGCACAGAGTCCAATGCGGGGCTCAAACCCGGGAACCATGAGTTCATGACCTGAGACAAAGTTGGACGCTTCACCGACTGAGCCGCCCAGGTGCCCCTGGATAAATTTTATTTTATAATCTAAGTTATTGATTATATTTAGAAACAGTCATTAATTAATTAGACACTTGGAGATTATTACTTTTAGGATAAAAGGGAAAATATTAGCTTAGAGGGATAAGCCACAGATCAAAATTATGAAAGACTTGGGGTCACCTGGATGGCTCCATCCTGATTTCAGCTCAGGTCATCATTAAAGGGTCTTCCTCTCTCAGTCATGAGATCGAGCCCCACACGAGGTACCACGCTGAGCATGGAACTGGCTTGGGAATCTCTCTCCTTCTCTCTCTGCCCCTCCCTTGCTTGTGCTTGCTCCCTCTCAAAATAAATTAAAAAAAAAAACATTTCTAAAAATATTATAGACTTGGAATTCAAACTCTATCCTGTCTTAATCCAAACACTAAAAATGGTAGTCTTTTTCTCCACAATTAAGTCATAACTTTCCTAAACACACATATCCCACAAGGGTCACATAATTTTATATGGCCTATAACTTACTTTATTAACTCGTTTCCAAATTCATCAGTAGACTCATCTCTAAAAAGGCTGTTCTAAACACTCCTCATCTGATTAGAAGGGAAATCACCCCTCTTCCAAATTCCAAAAGGCTTTTCTAACTATAGTACCTTCCCCTGGTTTTCTTTATAGACTTCAGACTCGGATTAGTTACTCTGTTTAATTTTCAGCAGATTTACTATTGTGTAAGAGGAGAAACATGAAGTTAACATCTTGACCGTGTAGTAGATGAGAAAAAAAACAGCTCCTCAATAGCATATTTTCTGTGGATTTCTATCCTATAAGAAATTGTCTCTTTCTGTGACATTTGTGGCATTTCTGAAGTTTCTGTTTCTCTCTCAACTACTGTTAACCTGAAATCAGCATGTGCCAAAACTCAAAAAGAAGAACAAGTTGAGTTGAGTTCCTAAAATAGCTGAAATTGGATGTGCCAGGACGCGCCATTGTTGAGACGGAAAGATTCTGAGGAGGAACGCTGTCTCTCTAATCATCAGGACCACATGATACAACCTAAACTTTTACATCTCAGGCAATAAAAAGTTTCTTTTTATTTCGCTTTTCCAAAGATAGCAGTGACTGAATAGATCTTCAATATTTAATTTCCAAGGAAAAAAAAAAAAACAGTACTTTGTGTATCATATGGGTTTTTCTGTATAAAACCTGACCTTCAAATGTAAGTTTCCAGTATCCTTTTAGGCAGTCTTTTTGAAGTTTGCCAATTTGTGACTATGACTTCTTTCCTCTCCTTCAGGTCATGATGTTTCATTTTTCTAAATTAAGGGTCGCCTGAGCACACTCAAAGCTCTTGGATAGGGTTTAGGGTTTACTCATGTAGAAAATAAGTACTTAGATCTTGATATTTTAAGAAGTTGTGTGGCAGATTGAGTCTCTGGCTTCTCTCAATGGAATTATTATAAAACGCAAATTCAATATTACAAATTGTGAGCCTTAGTCTTTTTGTCACCATAAGTCTCTTTGTTTACTTCTCTTTCAGGAGAATGGGGAGAGAGTTCTAGGAACTTCTCCTTCATGATACATCTCCTACAGTCTTTTCTCCAAGTCTTAGTTTCTGCAGGTCAATAATAGTGCCTACCTCTGAAGGTTATAATAAAAATTATATATGATTTTATGTATAAAATCCCTACTTAACCAAAGTAAGAGATCAAAAAATAGTAATTATTTTTACTGTTATTATCATTTATCAGATGTAGCACAATCTGGTCCTCCAGAATAAGACTATGTTATATTAATCTAGAGCTATATAATGACTTACCCCAAAGAAAAACCATTTCAGTTCCTTATGATTTTTTTTTTTTTAGATTAGGGAATTCAGATAAGGCAGGGCAGCAATGACTATGTCTTCTCTGTAGTATCTGAGATCTTGGCTGGGATAGCTGTAATGGTTGTGGTCAACTGAGATTACTCAACTTAGGTCTAAGTCAGAGTCTCAGTTGCACTGCCGTCCAGATTCCTCAGTTCTGTTCCATGTTGCATCTCTGAGTAGCATGGTTGAGCTTCCTTCCAATGTGGTAGCCTTGGGAAAGTGGGATTTGCTACATGGTGCGTGTCTTTCCCCAGAAACTGCTGAACTTCTTACACTTCAACTACCAGACCTGAAATAACATGAAGGGTGCAAACTTGCAACTGGTAGATAAATAAATCTCCTGGAATAAATCTTGGAGATTAAGTGAATAGAAACAACAATATTATATTATAGTAATCAAACGTCATAAGAGACTAGATCCTAATTGTTCTTACCGCAAAAAAGAAATGATAATTACAGGATGTGATATAGGTGCTAATTCTTGCTACAATGGGGATCATATTATGATATATAAACGGACCAAGCTAGCATGTCGTACACCTTGAACTTACACAGCACTATATGTCAAATACATGTCAACTGTAAATAACTGAATAAATAAGTAACCAGATCTGATATTTGGACAGCATCAGTGACTCACATTATGTTAACCAAAGCAAGTAACAAGGCCAGCCCGGGTTAAGGGTAGGTGAAACAGACTCTAGGTTTTGATTGAATATAATTGCCTGACTACATGGGGTGGGAAGGATTGAATAGTGGCTGTCTTGAGAGGATGTCTGCCACAGATTTCTAAACTTACTCATTTGGTGAACAACTACTGAAAAGCAAAATCCTTTATATTAAAAATTTGATTTGAATGACACACTGTTACTATCATAGAAATTATAAAAGATGTAACTATTTTTTTTTCAAAAAAAGATAGTAGTGATGAGCAGATAAAATATATTTTATGGGCTGCCTGCGTGGCTCAGTCAGTTAAGCATCTGACTTTGACTCAGGTCATGATCTCATGGTTCCTGAGTTTGAGCCCAAGTAGGGTTATGTCCTGACAGCTCAGAGGCTGGACCCTGCTTCAGATTCTCTATCTCCCTCTCTCTGCCCCTCCCCAGCTCTCTCTCTCTCTTTCTCTCTCTCTCTTTCTCTCTAAAATATATAAACATTAAAAAATCAAAAAAAATTGCCTCTTGTGGCAGGTATTGAGAAAACATATAACATATAATGTCAGAAGACATTCTACAGATTCATTTTTACTCCAAAGAAAACTTTTGAACAAAATATATGCTGCATTTGATTTAGAAACATATTCTTAGTTGCCAACTCAGTTGGTCAAAGAGTATCTTTACCTTTTCTAACTTCATACAAAAATCAGCACTATGTCAGAATGATGCAATTTTTTTATTATTTTTATAAAAACTCGTACACACATTAACCTAAACTACACTGATTAATAATATTTTCAGCATTTTTGTTAAGAACCATATCAATAGTTATCTCTTTGTAAATAGAAAAAATATTTTATAATGGAGTCTTATTTTGTATACATATTTAACGTAGAGAAATTGAAATAGAAGTCACTCAGCCAAAATGAATAAAAAAGGAAGGAAAGATGAAATATAAATAATAAATTCCTATCCTTGGCCCCTCTCACAAAAGAACATAAACTAGATGAGAAGGGAAACTTATATCTGATGCTCACTCAGTTTGTCTAAAATCCACCGTGGCTTTCGTAATATGAGCATCTGATCTATCTGAGTGTGATTCTTTTGTAAGGGGCACATATTTTTAGTGGAGTTCTGACTCTAAGTAAAACAACCGCTCAGTTGTTTCTTATCTAAAGAAAAAGCATTCTAACATAAGAGGAAAAAAATAGTAGACATATTAAGAACAGTATAGAAATTTCCTATTAGAGATTTTAAGAATGATTTTGACAACTCTGTGGGGCACTTGGGTGGCTCAGTCAGTTAAGTGTCCAATTCCTGGTTTTAGCTCCGGTCATGATCTCACAGTTTGTGGGTCTGGGCTCTGTGTTGGGCTCTGCACTGACAGCAAGGAGCCTGCTTGGGACTCTCTCTCCTTCTCTCTCTGCCCCTCCTGCATGTGCGCTCTGTCTCTCTCTCACACCCACAAAATAAATAAATAAAATTAAAAATGACAAAGAAATTTGATTTTTTTAGTTTTTTAAAAACATCAACGTACAAAATTAGGCTATTTGGATTTTAATTTCAATTTTAATTTTAGTAACAGGTTAGGATATGGAATTATAAGGATGTCTTTATATCTGAATTCATGGAACGTTAGCCAAGTAGAAGATAATTTAAGTTTAAACATCTTTTAGTAAATTATAAAGATGCAGGATAAACATCTTCAAGTGTTAAAACAACATTTAGCAACATAGGAAAGATTTCTTTGCACTTGGCAAGGATCTCTTAAGTGTTACTGAAGAAATACAAAAATACAAAAAGGCCTTTATGCTGGATTTTTGTATGTCAGTTGAATAACAATCATCCCCACACGAGTTAAAACTTATCTGCTCAAAAGCACAACGCTTGTTGAGAATATAATAAATTTGATTATAACAAATTGAAGCAAACATTATTTTCAGGGAAATCATTTTACCATAGCAACCATGTAATTGTGTGTATGTGTGTGTGTGTGTGTGTGCATGCACACACATATGCCTGTGTGTTTGAAGACGGAATGTGTAAAGTTATAAAAGCAACATTTATAATTTTACCTTCTGAAATATAATTAGCACTAAGTAATGACAAGCACATTAACTAAATGACAGCATTTATTTTACAAGATGATATTACTGTCTATATATGTATCTCTGTATCTAAAATGCTACTTTATTCTCTGAGAATTTTAGAATTATGAATATTCATAATTTTAATTTTAATCAGGCCTAAAGTCAACATCTGTGACTGTAACTTAGTAATAGTACATCAATTTCTCTACTTAGTTTGGAATTGATCCCTGAAAT